CTTTCTTGGTATGTAGTTTTTAAGTTATAGCATAAGAGTTTCAAACATGTACAAAAGGTATGCTGAGCCAGGAACAGTGGGTTTTTCCCCCCCCAAAGTGTTCTTAAAGGGTTTATAATCACTTTCTAGTTGAATGGTTTCCCATCCATGAAAAATGGGTCAAACTTTTCATAAACAAGATACTATTCCTTTGCAAGAATTGTAAGATATTTCTTTCCAGCTAGGGTATATTTTTGTTTGAGTGGCTATTGTAATTATAATGTGAAAGGCTGTCTTTTTTTATAGAACTGATGTCCCATGTCACTTGGCAGCACACTGTAAGGTTTCCACTTCATTCATGTTGTAATACTTCAGAACACAAGAGCTGATCAACAGCTCTTTGATACATGTGATGATTGCATCATGCCGAGATACGCTCCTCCATGTGCATCTTTGTACAACAGTAACCTCAGGAGTTTTGCACATACTTTAGAGGCTAGGAAGAAATATTGGCAGCTATTTTACAAATCATAAGAGTCATTACATTGATTTAGTATCTCTAAGTGTAGCTATAAGCTCTAGTGCTTTTACTTTACTTTTCTTCTTAATGCAATAGCTACTCTGTGAGGCAGGTGCTACACTTGTTGAACTGTTTTATCTGTTTCCAAATTGAATACACCTGGAAAATATCTAATATTTTAAACAGTATCGTGGTAACTTTTAAAAACTTTGCTTCAGATATGTCACAGAATATTGTTTGTTGTTAGTGGGTGCATCTACACAATACGCTTACTGTGTGGTGGTGTAATAACACTGAGCAATAGCATGCCAGTCAAAAACCATGCTAATAAGCTTCTGCGCAGTGTTATTAGGCTACTACACAGTAACCATCACAAAAAAAATGTGCCAGCGCTACTGTGCAGTAAATGTAGTAACTGCACATTCAGTTAGTACTTCATTAAGGAAGTATTAAACTAAATGTGCAGTAACAACAGTGCATTAATGAACAAAGACCCGCCCACTATGTTTTTTATTTTACTTCTGTGTTTATTACATGAATCATATTCTACTTGAAAGCAGCGACTGCTATGTTGTCTGAAATACCTAAGGTTCAACATTTTCCTTGGTATTCTGCTTGTAATTTGCTGTGTCCTAATGATATTATAATCAAGACATTGGCTTTGTCTATAGGATCCTGAGGAAGTCTGTGTGACTGCGTTAACTGAGGTCCCACTTCATTGCATTCAGTTTTCTGTTTACTTTGTGATGCCAGCCTGATCTTTACAAGCCATATGCATTTGTTGTTATACACCGGACTAATGTTTTATAAGTGAGTGTCTCATCATCCACGTCACTGCTTATTCCTTCAATACGATGCATTTTTCTTTAATTTTTTTGTATTGAAGCTTTGACATTATGATTTCTCTTGCCACAATTATAGCATACAAACCTGTAAGCATGGTACTTTCCATTACCACATTTTTTTACCAAAGCATCTACAGGTTTTCTTTTGTATTTGATCCTCTCCTTTTCTTTGCACTTGCACATTCATTTTTCATGAATTGTTGTGTATTGTTCCCTTTATTTTTAAGCTTTTCCTGTGCAACTACTCTGCTGGTGAAACAGTATTGTTCTCAACCTAAAATGCAGTACCAAACAATCCACAATGTTAATAAAATATCTGCCCCATGCTCCTTGTTGCAGTGCAGCTCTTTATGATAGTCAGGTAAGTACAGACAGCCAAGGTGGATTATTTCTAATAACTGCTGGACATAACCAAATATCTGCCAACTCTGACTGACTTTTGGATTTACTATAAAACAACACATTCTTAATAAGCTACAAAAAATATTCCAGAGCCAAAACATTAGGCAAAGACAAACAAAAGTTCTTCCAGATTTTCTTGCTTTTGCAGGAGATGACAGCATTTCAGGATTTCCTGAGAGATGCAAAAAGTTTTATTGGGGAAGCATGGATTGTTTACAATGAGGTCACAGAAAAGCAGGAGTGGATCCAGAGGGGGTGCAGTGATACGACCAAACCCCACTTTCTCACAACACTCCAGGAGCAGCAGCCAGGGACTTTTTAAAGTCCTGCAAGCAGGTAAGAATTCTCCTCTCCCTTCCCCCGCATGTCCTCTCCCCTCCCCTTGCTTCTCCCCTCCTCTGCCTGCTGCTGCTTCTTTCCCTCCCGACCCTTAGGTGGCGAAGGCTCCAGAGTTCCTCCTACCTACTCCAGCTGGGCTGCGCAAGGGCCCAGGACAATGGTGGCTGCAGACACCCTTGCCTGGTCCCCCTAGGTGTTCACTGCCAGTCTGGTAGCAGGCAAGGGGAGGGGGAAACCCATTGCACCACCATGCTGTCCCAGGCTGAGCCCAGCCCTTGCACGGCTCAGAAACAGTGGCAAAAGCAGATCTAGAGCTCCCCTTGCTCCTGGTCACCACACATTCCCTCAAACACACTCCAAAAAACACAAGCAGCTTTCCACCAATATAATTTGAAAGAGAGTGGCAGATTTTATGTTATGAACTTGCCCAAGTATTATTGAGTTTCGGATGTGTTTAATGACCATTAGAATACTGTAGAAGAGTTGTAGTCTCTTCATTGCTACAAGTTAGGTCTAGAAGCAGACTATGATCACCTGACTCTCCACCTGAACTTGGACAAAGCAAAACCAATCTCCCTTACATGTTTCAGTCATACGTATTCCCCTGATGGAAAAATATGAAGTTTGTGGATAAGCTTTCAAAGTAGTTGTGGGACAGGACAGCTAGAAGAGCTACGCTTTATAAAGTATCCTTCTTTTCTCTTAGCCAAGGAACAGCATTCAACAACTTTTGAAATGTTTTTGGCTTTTGTTACTTGATGCCACTTTTGTGGATCTCAGGGAGTGTTTGAGATTTTATGTACACAACAATTTACTAGGTGAGGTATAACATGACCCCAAGAAAAGGGAAGAGGATGCAGGAGTTTTAATAAGTGAAGAGAGACAGACTGGCATAGACCAGAGCTGGTGGACACAGATAGGAAGCCAAGAAGGAGAAGCTGGCAGAGTCTTCAAATATTGACACTAAATCACTATGCAGAGTATAAAAGCTTAGACAAAACAGTATAGCATAGGGGATCTGAATGTAACAGAATCTCCACCATGTAAAGTGCAATCCACACTCACCAGAAAGTCAATTGTTGACCCTCACCTACATGCAGGATGTGAGGTATCTCATACATTGCTCTCTATATTTACTCCAGGCTAGACAATATCTGTATTCAACACTCTGATGGTCTATGTACCACACTCGTTCATTTTTCCAATAATAATCAGACATCTCAGACATGGAAACAGGACACAGAGCAAGTTATACAACAACTATGGGTGGGGGTGGTAGAAAGGCAAAGTAGACTGGCACCTTATAATCTGACCAAAGTAGATGTATACACAAGGCAAAATCTCTTGTGAACTGAAGCTCACTTCATCAGGTGCTGTGAAAGGCCGTGTAGCACCCTCTCATTTCATACCTGCATTCACAAGATACCTGCAAATCCTCCTGCAACTAATACAGGTTAGAATAGGGAACGGACATTATTTGGACTGCTGTACTTTCCAGAAAGCCCCAATTGAGATCACAGCCCCAGTGCAGTGGACAGTATTCAAACACCCCTGAGGACACAATCTTTTCCCAGACAACATTTAGCAACAGTCTACATTGCTCTAACTGATGTAGGCGATGAACACAGCACTGCTTTAGCATTAGCACCACATTTCCTTTCAGGCATTTATTTCTGAAGACTTTATTGAAACAGCTGGGAAGTGTTTTTAATGGGGAGCTGCCACATCCAAGAGGGCACTCTGACAGTTGGCACCTGAGCTGGATGTCAAGCCCAGGGATTTCAACAGCAGCCAAGCCCAAAACAGAGCAGCCACGGCAACAACAAAATTAGCAGATGGCTTCTTAATTTAAGCCAACGGTTCTCAGCCTTTCTAGACTCAAGACACTCCACGTGAGGCTAGAGGCACCCCTTGGAAAATGCCAGCTCATATTTTCTTGACCAGGGAAATACAGAGCTGTCCTTCTGAGGCAAAGAGCTCAGCCAGCCCATGGCAGGGCAAAACGCTTTTAACATAGTGGCTCCAATGGGAAATCTCTAGGTTTCTCTTGTGAAATGCATTTGCACACCTGACAGCACTGACACTGCCTGGTGGTTCCCTGCAAGGATCTCACAACACCTGACTGAGAAGCGCGGGTTTCAACATAAGAGCAGAAAACATCATTGCTGCCCTGTAACTGATACTGGATGATATAGTCCCTCTCTGCACATACAGACATACCAGTAATACCCAGCTATCTGCAGCTGTAGCCACACACACACACACACACACACACACACACACACGCTGATGCATGCACTCTCACACACCGTCACACACAGACGTGCACAGACACACGCACATAAACTCACACACACACAAGTGCACTCTCACACACTCACACATGCCCACAGGTTCATATGCATGCACTTACACACCTATAGGCGATTGGTAAAGGGGAGGGAGGGGGTGCCCCTCCTGACAGGGCCATCCCCACTGCTGGTGGCTTCTGTGGGTGTCTCTCCAGACTCAGGAGGTACCAGTCACCCCTGCACACACCCACGCCTGCACATGCACGCACTCACACGCAGTCACACACAGACACACAGATGCCCTCTCACACACACGCCCGCATGTTGACCTGCACGCGCTCACACGCCCGTGCCCGCACACGCACGCACTCTCACACATGCACATGGATGTGCACTTGCATTACCCCCACATCCAGATGCCCCCAGAGACACAACACGCAGGCACCCAGAGGCACTTGCAGACACACGCACACACTCTCCCGCATGCACACACAGGCACATGCAGGCACACGCGTGCACTCCCACACAGCCCCTCTCCCTCCCGCACACGCACCCCCCGCGCGGCTCTGCCTCCTCCGGCTGCTGCCCGGGCAGGACCCCGCGAGCGCCCGGCGCCGCCGGTACCTGCCGAAGTGCCCCAGGGTGTCGAAGAGGCGGTCGGAGCCGGGAGCCATGGCGGCGGCGGCGGCGGCACCGGGC